TTACGACAAGACATTTTGCAAGAACTATAAGCCATCTCAGGTTAGCCGCCGAGCTTTCTTTTCACGGAAAACAACATCAATGATAAGTTGCGATGTAATGACTTTGTTGAGCATAGTATTCGAATCTTAGTTTATAGCATCGAAGCTTAAAATGGTAGTTCTCTTTCCGCTTCGCTTCTAATTGAAAAAACATTGTAAAAATTTATATCAACGTTTTTAACAATTGTAAATTTTTCGTTTTTCCTCTCTTAACATACATTCTAATTTTATTTATTGCTTAGGAAGAATTAATAAATCTCGATAACTCTAAATATATTTTCCCTAAACTATAGGATATATTTTCTTAGAATGAATTTATTTCTAATTTTTTCTAGAATAACGTAAAATTGAAAACATATTGATATTTTTACATTTATCTTTATAATAATTCCTTGTGAATAGTAAATTTAAGAAAAATTTACTATCGCTTCTTGGATATAAAAATATTTATTCACATATTTGTCTCTTCTCTTTTATCGTATACTCTTTGGTAGCGAAAAGAACTCTGTCATGTCAGACATATTAAATAAATGTTAGACAGTATTCGCTGTACAGTTCGTATACTTGGCAATTTCAACTTCCGGGAAATGATGCTGCATGGGAAGGCGGTCGGCGAGGAAGGATCTATCTGGGGAACATAGTCTACTACACTTTATCTCCTTCTTATAAATGAAACAGGTTATTTATTATCCAATAAAGAGACACTCCTGGCACGCGGCACCCCGCTGGGTACTTTACGGGGGTGGCAACCCCTGACGTGTAAATATCGAGGTTTCTCTGCGTCCCTCTCCGGAGACCACTGTACAGCGTTCCATCTTTTACACTAGTTTTCGACAGCACATATTCCACATGTCGTATGAGAGAATCTCTAGTTAGAAGGAAGGAAAGAAGTCCTTGGTGGCCAATTTTTCCATCAATTATTTTAACATTCTGATCTCATGAGTCTACTTTATACGGTCCAATAAATTAGCAGTTAATAGCTCGATGCTAAGTATCCATTACTCAAGTTGTTTAATAGAGTCTTAATTATTATCTTGTTGAGAAACAAAAGTTTTTCAAAGTATACTTAATAAAAAAGTTCAGCCCTTTATTTTAATTTAATATTTAATAATTCTTTTTACGTTATTATAAAAAAAGCATCGTTTCATATACAGTATTTTTAAACGTATATATAACAATTTCATTTGTACCTTTTATTGGTAATTTATTTCATACTTTTTATTCCGGAAGTCACTTGTAGATATACAATAATACGATTATATAAATTTTTTGTTTTTCTTAATTTTGTACAGATCTTATCTTTCGGATGGATTGTCAGGTGCGCTTTTATGTACCGTGGCACAAATGAAAAATTGTTGTGAAGCTAAGCCGTACGACAAAATGGCCTTCATTAAAACTTTGTACAGCTTTATGGAGGCGACTAGCTCGAGGTTGTTTTGCACATGGTAGCGAGCATGTTGCGTTGAGACCGGGCAACGAAGCCAGCTGATATAGCCTATGTAGATTGCGAGATATGAAAATCCGGGATTATCAAACGCTTTGCCTGCCAACCATGAAAGACGCGACAATTTAATCACATACATTGTAAAAAGATTCGCAAAATAACCTGCTGTGCGAAGTACGGTCTTTTCGACTTTCTTTAAGTCATCATTTTCAAGGAACACATCCCGAGCATACGTTCGCATCCACGCACGAAAACTTTTAACGAAGTTTCCGAAACAGCTGATTTCTCTTAACTCGAGCTTGAGTTGTTCTCGGAAACGTGCGACGCATCTTGATTATTGTTCTAGAAGTTGACCGGAAGCAGCATGTGCTATTTCTATCGTCTTCGCAAAACTGATATATGATATTATACTATAACACTGTTACTGTAAATAAGGATTTTTAGTAAATTAGGATGTAATAGTAAATTGGCGTGGTCTTCGATCTACTATATATTTTGTTTCAATTTACTCAAAAACCTGACGTGCTTTACAAATTCTGTCCATAACATCGCATTCCTCGCGAAAAAATCTTCGAGGTATGTACACTATGGTATTTTTGTAGAGAGAAAATAACTGACTTTGTCGAACAGTGTAATTGAAAGCATGGAGAATGTACAGGGTAGCGCACAAAATGTCATACCACTTAATTATCTTATTGAAACTATACATATGGGATATTGGTTTTTCTAATTGTGTGAGTAAATTCTTGAGAGAGTTCGTGGAAATTCTGTTAAGTGTAGCATCACGAGTCCGAATTGGACGGAGGTGGAAACGTACCTGTGATACGGCGGACAATTTAAAATGTTGAGCATAAAGCGAAAATTGTGTTGTTTTTGCGAAAACGAAGAATATGAAGCAGGAACTTAGAAATATTCTGTTTACATTGTATAGATTTTTGTTGAAAGGTATAGTTGAGGATAAGCGCATGGTTTATAAAAAAGATTGTAAAATAAAATGGTTATATTGAATGCTATTTACTAGAGACAATTTTCCAGGCATTGATAATTAATTCTGTACAAGTTTTGTATTACTTTTGTTAAAATGTGCGAATAAAATATATAATATGACATTTCGTGCACCACCCTGTATTTCACAAACTATACGTGTCTTCACCTCCGCCCAACTCTGACTGTGTGAGCAAATTCTGTAATTCGTGGAAGTTCTGTTAGGTGTGGCATCACATCTAACAGAATTTCCACGAAGTACAGAATTTGCTTATACAGTTAAAAAAAATCGATACTCCACAAGTACAGTTTTAATGAAATAATTACACGATACGGCATTTCGTGCACCACTCTGAATGATGATACAGGTGATTAGAAGTAAGTTCATTAATTGATTTTGTAGGAATTGTAATGGAATTATTGTATTAGAAAAATTCGATATGGTACATTTCAACTGGAATAAAATAGCAAATTAAGTCACGAGAAAATGGAAGTAATTTTGCAAAATTTTAAATTTAAAAGAAAGTTGTTGAGCGTGAAGGGGAACTATCTTTCGCAGCGCGAATTAATGACTGCGGTCTTCGTAACCGTGTCATTCGGGACTTGCCTTGATGGACATGCAGATCATCTCTTCAGGATTATTTCGTCACGGATACTTCGCTTTTCTTATTTCCTAATTGATCCTATTAAAACGCCTTTCAAACAAGTTAGACTTTACGCACCGACGCTTTTCACGGGATGTTCACTTTAACTAAACGGTAACTTTCATCAATTCTTTACGAAAGAATTCTCGTTATATTCTACAGAATAATGTTTTCCCCCAAATTCTAACAACTTCTGAATCCGTTGCGATCTTCGACCGAATTTTCGTAGAGGAAGGCACGCGAGCTCCCTACTACTCGGATAGACTTCTTTGTCGTTTTCCATTGCCTTGTATTCTCACTACCTAGACATACTCTAAGTATTTTCATGGATTGTGACTTATATCCTCGACAGAAGCAACGCATACCTTCTATGCAATCCTCTTTCTCAGAAACAGAGAAGCCAAGGTACGAGGCATATCTGCATCTTAAGACGGCGAAAGGAATTTCGAAAAATTTGATAGCTACCTGTAACCAAGATTATGCCATAGCTTACGACAAAAAATTTCCATTTAATCGTAACTGTCGATGGTACCTACATCTCGATGAAAAATTTCGAGGAATGGCATAGTGATATTTCATATAATTCCCCATTGAATGTATTTATCGAACTTTATAAAGTATTATATTGTCAAGAATAATTACATCATCGTTATCTATATATGGAAATAGACTTTCGTTAAGAATATATATGTGTGTATTAAAAATATTGACTGAGTTATCTTTTTTTTTTCCGTGTTATCGGACTAGCGTTGGATTTCCTCTTGGACTTTTATCCGCTTTTCTCATTCTGCTGTGTAACTCTTACACGAATCCTATCTCCGTATTTTTCTTCACCCTTGACGGTCCCTTACTGAGCTCTCGGAAGTAACCCCTACCGGGCCGTTATACCGCTACGAAACATCCTTGGATCTTTCTTGGTATCTTCTTCTTCTAATATTTTCCGATACAGCTACATCTTGACGTTGAGCCAAAGTCACGCGCAATATGTAATACATCCAATTTCTAGTTTTCTCTGGCCAATTCAACCAATTTCATTTAATGTCGCACTGTAAGAATATCTTACGGCAGATACTATTCGATCGTAATATATGTTTATATATGTGAATATTTCAAGACGGAAACTATATATTCTAACGACAAATATTGGAAAGCAATCGGAGAGCAAGTATATCTATGTAAATTTAAATACCTATGCTATAATACTTCTCTATAGAAATAATATTTAATTTTTTATCAATTTTAGATAATTCACATTTATTATAATATTATTTATAATATAACAATAAAATCTCTAATAAGTAATTGATTAAACAAGAATGTTGATTAATTATCTATCAGGTAGTAGTTTCAGTAAATTTATTAAAAATTGATTCAGTGACGATTCATAGCCGGAAATACTATTCTGTCAGAATGACGAACGCCATCAAATGCTAATGGATTCAGCCAAGGGTAATTCCGATCCATTATCTCGCTTGTAGAGCCTCAATCGCGCGGTCTGTTCAATTTATCCTTTTGTTTTCTTTCGCGTTCTGTTTTTTTAACCGACTCACTCTTCTCTTCTACCATTCTTTTTCCTTAATTCTTCAATTGTTTGCGATCTATGATTTATTTAAGTAATTTCACACCGGTTTGTATGTGACTGCTATAAAATTTTCAGTAATATTTAAAATTACAGATTAACAATTAATCTTATTGTAATACGTATTACATGATAAAATAAATTAAGGACGTAGTTGTTAAATTTTTGCAAAAGTATAATTATTTTTTAGATGTATTAAATGTTTTTTCAGAACATGATACTTCACTTGAGGATTAATAATATGATGTGAAAATATATATAATTAATAAGGGATTAAATATTATAAAAAGTATATTTTTGTTTGTTCCAGGCTTTGGCCAGGATATGCTAGTGCGCATAATAATCTTGGAACTCTCACGATAGACGATCAAGCGGAATATCATTTTCTAGCAGCTATTAACGCTCAACCAGGCCACGTAAATGCTCATTATAATCTCGGACGATTGTACAGGTCAGTGAGAATGATAAATACTTTCTCTCCAAGAAGAAGACATTATTGCGGATTATCAATTATTAAACCGATTATTAATTGATCTAACGGTCAATACAATTCATGAATTATATGCTCATCAATTCATATTATTAGGAACCGTTGGTTGCTTCTCTCTATGTGATAAAAGTATCTCTCCATCTCCTAGCTCAATGTTATATCAACGGGTTATCGATCCAACGCGGGCCGCGTTTCCGACGGTAAATTTAGCATGAGCTGTAATTCCGGTGGCATGGTTAAAATTAAAGTTTAATTAACGTCTTCCTACTTGATAAATTAAAATTTAATTAAGGGCAGAAATGGGACACACGGCCGGCCAATGCGTGTATGCAACAATTTTCCGTTCATTGTGCGTAAATCGTGAAAACAAGCAATCTCATTTATTTCTCTCCCTCTTTCTACCGAGAAATTTTATTTGAAATCTGCACATATCCGATGAAATATGTTTGCAACGACTAATTAAATGTTTTTGATTTCTCATTTATTTTTACACACAAATATTCTATTTTAATATAATATTTTTTCTATTTTTATCTCTGATTACGTAAACAATAGAAATTATAAAAACAAACATTGTTCTTGTTATTAATTTTTATTAAAAATATTTTACGTAACACAAACAAAAAGACTTTCAATAAAGAGACATAACTCGTATTTTATAACATTTAATTCGATATTTAACTAATTTAATAATCTACTAGTTATTAACTATAATATTTAATGTAATAATTTTCCTCGCCACTCTTATGTTAAAACAGTATATTAACTTAACATTAAATTTATGTATAATATAATATTATTATATACGAGAAACAATAATAATATGTTTTAGTATATTTTAGATTGTTATTATTATAATTTCGATAGTATAATTTTACAATAATATAGCATATTGTGTGTTATATAATGTAGAGGAGAAGATACTATGGGTACCCCTTTCATATTTTGTACAATAACTTGGTTTAAAAAAATAATCGGTATTTAAACTTAAAACTTAACACAAACACACACAATTATATTTGTCAAAAAGTATTGTTTAATCAATTCTTGGTTCAAAGTATAAAATATTTATAATTTAGTTACTTAGTCATTTAGGACGCTATTTATAAAAATGTGATAACACTGCATAATGGCTTGAAAAGAAACAAGGATAGTAATATGGCCTTCCACAAAAATAAATATAAAAAGTTGGTTTTGTTTAAAGAACAATATTTTTTGTTAGAAAAGTAAAATATTGTAGTGTTTGTGTATTTAAGTCATGCAATAATATGTATACATAAATTCTTCCGTTTATAGGTTGCTTAGTATTAGAAATCTGTATATATGTAATATAAGCTATAGATAGATAGAACTAATAGTAGCTACAATCAATTTATGGAATAATTATTTCGATATGAAAAAGAAATCTTCAACATGCTTAAGGGGCGCATTACTATTGTTTAACTTTATACATAACTCGAAATGTATACAGCCAAATAAAATGTTAAATGACTAAAAACACACTCAAATATATACTTATGTGATAATATATAATATATGGACAATACTAGTTTATGCTTTTTTGTTGGCTTTTCGCAAAAACAAAATTAAAGGAAGTGAACTATTGTTGTCAGATGCCACACTCAACTGGACGTAAAGTTTCTTTTAAAAAAGTATCGGGGAGGATACAAGAGTTTCTTAAAAATTGATTCTTTTGATACCCAACTATCCTTTGAAATTTGTCGAGGTCCTGAAACACATCCTCTTTATTATATAGCTTAAAAATATACTTTTATTGCGCACACATATCCATTTTTGTAAAGATTTAATTTTTTATTTCCAAATGTTTGCACATTATATGACATATAAAATAATTCTTGCAATCCAGAGTTGATTCACGCGAAGATTAGCAAATATGATGGCATAGGGTATAACATATAAAACAAAATGAAAAAATTGTTTTTGAAATATTTTGAAGTAATCTAAAATACACGTCTAAGATAAATTAAACGTATAGATGGATGTACATTCCTATAAATGAATACTCTTTTATCAATTAATATTTCTTCTTTGTATTAGATGAAATAGTCGATAGAGCCGATAGTCGTAAAAAGCATCGCTCGAGCAACGGGCGTAAACAGTAAAAACGGCATTGTCGATCAGTATTATTGGCGTCGGCATTCTCTGACAATTACCGAGTCTTTTGTCGGCGTAAAGTCGATTACATGAAAGCGCACGACTATAATTCAACCGGACGTGTTCGCGAAATTGCCGTTCAATTTGTACGGGAACGCCAAATTTATCGTGGTACCTTGCCCGTTGGTCTTTTCAACGTCGAGCCTTTACCAGCCTATCAACCTTCTTTGAAATATGTAGCATTTTCATCGAACAATAAAGTAACGCACGCAAGAAATTAATATATCCATGATAGTAGTTAAAGCGATGCATCCGACGGTATCGAGTGATTAAATATTATTCGAACGATATGCATGGAATTTATAATTGACACTAATTGGAATGGAATTGTTCGTTATTAATTAAGAATAATAAATGACAATCTTCCAATTACATTACGTTTCTTTACTTATTTATTTGCGTTCTATTAAAATTTTTTGATTACTGTTTATATACGTATAATACGTATAATACGGAGAAAATTGACCTCTTAAGTTTAAAATATCATTTATTTGATTTCACACACACACACACACACACACACACATATAGAAAACAATTATATAAAAACTATTATAATATAATTAAATCAGTTAAGAATTTATATAATACTCTAAAAGTTGACCGTATCAATCCAAGTAGCAAAGTGACGCCAAATGATATTTTGACAGCGTCTTATTTATAATATCAATAAGACATCATTAAAATGTCACATTACTATTTGAAAAATTCCACGTCTAAATCTCTAAACGTGTTTATAAAATATATTCGTATTCGTAAAATGTTGCTTTTAGAAGAACGAATCGAACTGAACAGTGCATTGAGATGCTGAGAAGATGCGTGTCGCTGGATCCGGCATACGCACCGGCATTTAGGGTTCTAGCGAGAATCGCTACCGGTCCTGCAACAGGCGAGCTTCTGAGGCACGTAATTCACCTTCAACCGCGAAACCCGGACGCTCTCGCTGAGTATGCTTACTGGTTATACAAGAACGGTGAGTTGCTAAATGAAATAAGCTTAGAGTAGCAAGTGGAAGACCTTCAAATCCCGGGTAGGAGAAGCACTACTTGTCGACAAAAGTAGAACAATCTCGTCAGAGTTACCTGCTGTTACCAAGCAGTTCGCATGATCGCAACCCTAAATTTACACTCGCGGCACAAACTTGCTTCGTCTCTTTCAGGCAAATGGTTGCCCTCACTCCGATACTATTTCAATGCGATGGAGATCTTTCCGTCGCACAAACCGTCGCTTATTGGTACGCTCAGGATTTTGAGGTCGCGAGGTCAGTGGTCTAGAGTACACCAGCTCATCATCAGGTGAGCATTTACATTCTATGTGCATGTGTATATCGCTGAACATATAAAGTCACTGTTACAAATTAAAAAATTGTCTCGACCTATAACTCTATAACAACACGTTATTACGTGAATAATAAGAGAATACAATGAGAAACTCTATAAGAGGTTATTACGAGTACTTTATAAGAAATTATCTATTCAGAAGGTTTTGTACGAGAATAGCATCACATGTTGCTTTTTTTCCACGCATGTAATCATTCGCGCGAAAGCACATCGAAGCTATTTCCCCGGATTACTTAAAATGGCATCGAATATACACTCCGGAGAATATTGTCGCAGTTTGGGTTGCGCAACGTAATGTCCGAATTTGTAATTTCCTCGGCAGCATTGCGAGATCGCGTACAAACACGGGCTTTTCCGCGTGTTACGAATTCCGTGCGTGCGACGAAGCGTGGCTCCGTCGCGCGGAAATCCTTTCAATTTCAGATGGGCTTTACAGTGTTGCGCGAATCGAACAGCGGGCTTATTCGCGCGGCAAGTACTCGGTACGTTAGCGCGCACGTCAATTCGCAATCAATGGACGAAAATTCAATTTTTTTCCCGACGATCTCTCTGAACTCGATCTTCGTTCCGCGCGGATTGATTAAAAATTCCACGTGATTTTTGTATTTCGCGCGCGAAGTACATCGAAGAATGAAATAAAAAAATTACGAAAAAAAAAAGACGAAGAAAAAACGAAAACAGATTCGATACTGTCTCGCGAGTTGATGCGATCGTTCTGTCTCGACGGTCGAGTTTGCCATCGGCCGTTTATGTACGCGGCACATCTATACGTATACACACGTAGATTATACGATAACGGGCGCGCAAGCGGCTGGTCCCCGTGTTTTCGCTGTGACTGCCGCCACCCCGTTGCCCATTTTTCCACCCTCACACCGTAATCCTCCCGCGTCCCGCTGTGTGCAAATAGCGCCTATAAAACACGCACGGTAAATTTGCCAGCGACGATTCGCGCTGTTTTTGTAGTTGGTGTTCTCTCTCTCACTCTCACTCTCATTCACTTATTCTCTCTCTCGCCCCTCCCTCCCTCTCTCTCTCTCTCTCTCTCTCTCTCTCTCTCTCTCTCTCTCTCTCTCTCTCTCTATTTCGACGGGCTTGCCAACAACGAAGTGCCGCGGCGGCGAATCGTCGTCCGAACGTATATATACGAATTTTGCAGATAGGCACGTAGGCGTGGCCCGGGGGATGTAGGAGCAACGGGGCGAAAGGGGGTTAAATTTTGGAGAAACAACGCTCGGAGAGGCGCCAGCGGACAGGCGGTCGAGCAGCGAACCATTCTCTCTCTCTCTCTCTCTCTCTCTCTCTCTCTCTCTCTCTCTCTCTCTCTCTCTCTCTCCCTCTCTGTGTTGCTACCACACGTGAAATTTCAATATGCATCGTTTGACAGATGTGGCGCATCGCTCGGATTTTAAATGCAAATATAAATCTCCCCGCAGCCCGTAACGGAATGGTGGGGTGAAGGGCATAAAGTATACAGTTGTGTAGCGTGGCTGAAGGAAAACAGAAAAAAAAAAAAAAAACTTTAGACAGTCTATTTTATATGAAATCCAAATAATTACCATTTTTATGAGTTCCAAATAAATAGAAAGTAACAGATAATTGACCTGCTATCTGTTGTATTTGTATTCATTAAAATTTTGTACAGTGAGTTATTTTACGTAGCCTGGAAATGTTCAGAAATGTACATATATAACATAATTCAATATAACTTCTTCACACAGGAACAGAACAACTATTTTATATTTAATATCCTTACAGTTTGCATTCTTCTTGTGACCGCAGTGCCGGTGTTCTGTAATTTTTAACGACAGTTCGTTATCGTTGTATTGTCGTTGCGTAACTTTTTTTATTATACGTATGAATATGTAAAATACATGCGTAAAGTGACATGGATACTGTCGTTAAGAGCTACGGAATAGCGACCCAGATGAATAATTTGCGCTCTGTACATTTCTGTTTAAAAAGAGATGTGTAAAACTATCATAAACTTATGACATTTTATCGCGCCGCATTGATTAATTCACGTACCGTGCACTTTGCGAGAGTATACGATATTTTTAACTTACATATTATTGGTAATGTATTGGTAAAAACGAGAAATTCACATTCACGTCGCTCGATGTGCACTCAATACCGTATAATAAATCTGCAGTTGTAAGAGAAATATATCATTCAGGATATTCTTGTTCATTAACATGCGAGACGGAGTTTGAAAGGCATTTATTCAATCCGACGGTCGCAAACAGCAGTACAGGGACCTTGTTTAATTATATTACTTCGAATGGCATCAGTTGTCAACGGGAAACGTGCCGCAAACTTTTTTATAGCGCGAGGGTGCTTTCACGTTTCATTTATGTATTTAAAGCCAAGCTGAGGCAAGTTCCCAATATTTCCGCTTTCCATTCCGTACGCGATGGTTGGATTAATTTCTCATAAATCGCTTGCGGTTTTCGTTGATTGGGTCACGGTTTCATTTGTGCCTCGCTCCGGGACACGTCGTTTCCGATCTGAAGTAATTAAGTGTCGCGATCGGCACGTAGCTCGATATCGAATATCTCGTTCCCGTTCGCTTCTATGGACGTACAATATGATATTGACATTGTCGAGAAAACCACCAACTGAACGTGTGACATATTACGATACGGTACCCCATTTTGGGACAGTTGTACTCTCTCTTTCCCCCCCCCCCCCCTCTCTCTCTCTCTCTCTCTCTCTCTCTCTCTCTCTCTCTCTCTCTTCCTCCTTTTCTCTTTTCCTCTTTTATCCTTTCTCACTCTCAAATAGTTCAATGAAAATATATATTTGATGAAATATCTTATATGAGAAAGTCTCACAGATTTTTCTAATAACTTTGGTAAGAGATCACGAACTTATATTCGTATAATAAAACATATTTAAAAACACGTAGATATTTTTAAATTATACAATCGTAAGAAGCTAAAGTTTTTTCAGATAACATATACTTTTTTCATTTATATAGAATTATAAAACCTTGTTTTATTTTAATGAAATTATCTGTAAAAATTAAATTAGTTTATCTTATATGATAGAACATCCTAGATATATATAATAAAAATTATATAATTTTCACATATGATTTATAATAACAGTAAAATTGGAAAAAAATGCTATCTCAGTGACTTATGAAATATGCTACATATCTTGTTCGATTCGAAGTTATCGGGATGGACTATAGTTTCTTACGGAGATAAAATCTAATAGTCTCTGGACGCAATTTTCTCAGCCATTGACGGTCTTTCCATTACATTGTCGTTAACAATGGAGTTATGTTCCACAGGGTGTTCGTGCTTAGGGTGAACATTATTGAAAATATGAAGAATGACTCGATCAAATATTGTAACCGTTTTTTTTCATATATTTTTAAATACTTGTAATAACAAGTGAATAAAAAAATATAAAAAAAACAATTTTAGGAAAGAGAAATATACATATAAGTTTATACTTAAATTTATTTATATATTACGACATAAATACCTATTTATTTATTTTTACAGCTAATAAATTTATAACGATATGCATTATGCCAATTTGATAATGGAATAAACAGTTTATTCATACGCAAAAAACGTTTTTACGATAACTTGTAAATTAGTCATTTATTTTATGTGTAGTCAATAACTTTTTATGATTAACTAATGACACGAATACTATTAAAACTTTATCTATTAGTTAACAGAGAAAGATATAACTGTTGAAAATATCGCCAATTATTTCCAATCTAATTATCGCTAATTATTGTTTCGTTTTTAGAAGCGCATTTTCCATGAATATGCTAAAATCGTTTGATCATCGCATGTGAAATTGCTCGGTAGAAATATTTTCTATTCAGTGCGTATCCATTTCATTCAAAGAATTGTACGAATGTTCAGTTTCCAAAACATTTGACTAAATTACTGTAAAATGCAAAGTCACGTGCAACGAGTGTCGAAAGTGTATGTTCATATGAAAATAATTTTGAAATATAGTCCCATTTATTGTATAAATTTACTTATTTGCCTATCATTAAATTATGCCGATTTAAATAATTTGAAAATCGGAGCGCGTGGTGTGCGCGTCGAGATAAATATTTATTGACTCATTAATTAACGTGAAAAGATCGTAAAACTTTCATTGGACATAAACAAAATTATCTCGTAATTGTAACTGCTGTTAAAATAAAATAAATATGCCCCAGTGCGCAAACGAATCGTTTAATAACGTCTAAAATAAAGATAACACGTGGAAGTTAACCAACTATCGAATGGCTGACTACAGCGAAAGTTCGTCGAGCTATCTTTTTCCGTGTTTTTCTTTTCCTATCAGACATATAAATTTAAAGAAAAACTACAGAAGATAATGGTATGGGCGCAGTGACGTCATCGCTATTGCGTTCAGCGCTCAACGAACTGATAAATCGAGAATTTACCGATCCCTAGCTGTATTCCCGTAATTTTGATCAATGAAACGCAACGCGTTCATTCGTGCAAATATTTCTTTTTATCTTTGAAGTCATAAACATGAGATGAAAACGATTGCCTGTATCACCAATTTCGTCGGCAATCGCAAACTGCAACGACTCATCGTCATACGGTCGCGATCTCACGCAACTTTCAACAACAATTCGGACACGAGAAAGAAATGTGCGTGCGTCGCAATAATTTTAGATCAACCTTCGCCACTATCGTTTCCGGGAGGCAGGATGCGATGTTACCCCAGTGTTCCGACTCGCGCGCGACCGCTCGCAGCCGACATGGTCTCTATATCTTCCGCTGTAAATAGCGATTTTATAATTCATGGTATGCCGTGTTTCATCCGGTCTATCGGTGAGCCACCGAACGGCTGATATGACCGGTGGTAGCCGCGCGTTACCACTTCGTTACAACCACTGTTGAGTTAGAGTTTATTTCACACGAATATCCGTACGAGATAGAAGGCTCGCGGTTGGCTTTAACAATACTCACCGCAAAACTTTAATTCTGCAAAACTTTAATCCTTAAATCTTCTAGTAAAATCATAATAGTGGTATTTTTTTTTTTGCGTAGCAGTATTCATTTTTGCTCATAGGTCGAAGCATAAGGTGTTTTATATTTCAATATTTATAATAAAAAAATGGATTTGTACTGGTTTGAATATTAAAAAAAGGAGAGAGTGTCAAACATTGATACCGTCATTTTTTGAATTTCTTTTATGAATACTATTTTAACTGCCATTTTCCATTTTGATATTATTTAGACTGAATTGGTCATGTTGCAACATGTATGTAGCAACAACATGACTATCTCCCAGTAGGACGTACGATCGATCACGAGCGATTTCAAACTGACCCGATGTGCTCGGAGACACGTGAGATTGCTAAGTCACGTTGCGATTACAGTCGGTTCGGACCAGCCGAACGTCAACGTTGTCGCTGGCGTGGGTCGATATCGGCATTGATACTGGATGAGGGGTGAAGCTATTCGATATACATAGGCACGCGTTCGATTAACCGGTACGAAAACGCTGGTATTGTCAATGCTTCGAACCTGCTCTAACTGCGTCCACGTAAATGTTACGGCCTTGATAACAATCAGGATTATTCGGGTGACTGAATGTGCACCGGGACAATACAGCGTTCACTTTGACATCACAAGATTCATTCGCTTGCTTGAAAGTTATTCAGTTATAATTATGCGATATGTCTATGACGCACGTTGTATTGAAGCTATATTTTTTTTTATATTACGTAAATTGTTTTTTTTTTTAATTAAATTTTTCATTAAATTTTATTAAATTAAATTACGAGGGCTGAGCATGTATTTGAAACAATTTTATTTGAAAAACGGTATTTGTAAGACAATTGTATTTTATATTTCGGCGGAGCATATGAAAATGTTTTGTTTTTTATATTTTGTGGAAGTATATAAAAGTATTTTGTATTTTGCGTTTTTTTTTTTAAATACTAAGATTGACAATTAATGTTATAATATTATTTACATTATGAAATACACAAGAAATTTTCAACCTTCCAATTTTAAATACAAAATACGTAATACTTTCATGTGCACCGCTGAAATACAAAATGTAAAATATATTTTTATTGCAAAAACTGTGTTTTAAATAAAAATATTTCAAATACATGCCCAGCTCTGATTGTAACTCGTAACATTCGCAGTGCAATCAGTTTGCTGTACAAAAAAATGTGTAGATTTCACGCGCGGTTTTTTCAGATAGAATACATATTTAGATCGGTGATATATCTCGGTACGTAACGAGTTACAATGACCGATTAATGCATGAATCATTCTTTTGTGGACTATAATCAAGAATAAACGGTTCTAAGATAAAGATAATAAAGTAGAACAAAACTAGAGCTACGTTATATGGATATTTTACCAGACTATCGAGTGTGAAATGCTACAGCCACGTTTATGAGTCAAATATATACGTTGATACATATAAGATTGCGAAATTTGTATCACTCTCGTCAATCAACTTTCCCTCTTTTACGCCTCGTAAATATGATGTTCGGGTATGAGGGAAAGATCATGGATAAGCTAGAGGGCAAGTGATGCGTAAAAAAAGGGTGTGTTACTTATGAATTTACTTTATGGAGGGTGCGAACGGATATTGAATAATGACATTAGAATCACATCAGCGCGAAAATCTATACTGAGGAAAATTTACAGCGTGCAAAGAGAGTAGGAGAGAGAGAGAGAGAGAGAGAGAGAGAGAGAGAGAGAGAGAGAGAGAGAGAGAGAGAGATTCAATTTATAAAGAAGGAATAAATCTTTATTCTCTCCAACAATTATTGATCATTTCTATAATTTAAGAAATGAATTTCCGAGACTCACGCTTTTGCCCACGAGAGCATTTTACATTTCGCTATGCAACACAATTTCACACAAACTACAAAAGCAAACGAATATAAATTATTAACATGCTAACACTGTGGAATTTTATTTTCCTCTTTGTTTCAGATGGCATTTAATGTTACGAGCGAAACGAGGAGGCTTTATCTATCGTGGGGACTTGTATATTCGTGCGTGGGAGTTACAAAGCGAGTCTCGTCAAAGGACTCATCAACATCAACGGAATCTCTGTATATCGGTTAGTAGTTTTGGTCGTACGAGCACAGCGTGATGTATAGTAGCAAAGTTTCGTGGATTTAGTTTGTCGTTCCTCACACTGCTACCTGCTATCTTAATGCAATAGTGCTTTTGTCTGTTTATCAAAGTGGATAATCTTCTTAAAAGTTATTATATACTAGCACGATACGATGCGCGATTTTCCCTGCTACTGTTTCTTTCTTTCCTACATTAGGAGACTGATTAAGATTCTTTGGTCATGCCGTGTCGCCATAATTCCGATTAAATGGATGTAGTTCCGTTTAGTCTCTTTCTTTCTGTCTTTCATCATTCCGCTCCCATTTCAACTTAGTTTTCTCGAGAACGACTTGTTCCACTCATTAAAGATTTAAGTACTTGCACATTTAGCCACACATTATCCTCTTACCATTTTGTCTAGATTAAATCGCTTTTGTGATAATCACGTGCACACTGATAATAATCTTAAAGCTACCTTTTTGCTTGAACATTTATGAAGCTTTAGAAATGAGAATACTCTTCTGAAATCATGCAAAAGAAAAATGCAGTCTTTTCTTCTTTTTCATTCAACGAATGTATACGTATCGAAGGAGGCACGCAAATAGACATGCATAATTCACATAGTTTAAATTTTGATTATATACATAAATCTATATTAATCAAAATTAACTATAAATCATAGTGACATGATAGAATTTGAAATATTTGGATGCGCGCAAAAGTAACGTCAATCATGATTAAAATCATGACATGCATAGTAAGTAAAATTTGCCAAAGCTACGTAATATCTGAAATTGCATTTAGCTCAACTAGAAACTTCTGTGTTTAAACTGATATTCAGCATTAATATATTCTCAGGTTCTCATATTCTCTCACTATTCAAATGCAGTGCTATTAATTAATTAATGTACTATATCATTATTGCATATCATTCAACTTTTGCAACTATGTGTCCTCAAATGTAACAATCATTTGATATCGCGTTAATTTCGTATATCGATTACGTTCTTCGCATTCATCATTAACAATCGCCTAGAGTGAGTTAGTACGCGTAGCAGTTTACCCGTCCGTACAACGTACGCCGCAGTAATCTGTAAATCACGGAGAGATCGCAAATTTCGCTGGAGCATCGGCAATTGTCTGTTGTAGGAGAATGGATGTTCGAGGCCGCGCGTGGCCAGCGTGTCGGTGCAACTCGAACAAGACAGCAACAAGTCGGAACAGCTGCAACGGGCACCGCGTTGTAACGTGCGTGCTTGCAGACAGCCAAGAAAAGGGAAGACGCGTGTAACCGCGCCCACCCTGCTCGTGCAGAATTTTCTGGAGACGCTTTAGTCCGTTCCGATTGGGGAACGGGTCTACCTCCTGCTCGTTCGCCAGCTGAAAACAGGCCGTGAAAGATGAAGGGAAGAAGCGCGATATTCCGACCGCGTAGCAGCCTCGTCCGACGATCGTCAGCGACGAAGAGAGTCCTATTATAGTGGAATGCCTGAATATTTTTCGTATGCTGTGTTTGTGTGCTATCTAGGACCGCACGCCCGACCTGTCGCGGATCAATCACGATAACGAAATCTAAGAAGGTACGCATATATCGTTATCGTTTATATATATGTGTCCTCGCGTTCTTCGTGGCATCCTGTTTATCCTGTCGATCGAACAGCGACGATGCGAGTCGCGGTCTCTTAAAAAAAAAAATAAAGTTGCTAATAAAAAAAGAAATAAAAAAAAACAGACGCTCCGTATAAATAACTTTGGCTTCGAACGTGGATAAAGCGTTCTGAAAATCGTTCGCCAGGACAAATGACAATGTGCGCTAACGGTGAAAAAAAATCGAGATGCTAGAATTAAATTCCTTGAAAATTATTTTGCCACTTTTAAATTCAATATAAGAATATTTAACGAGAGAGGACCAAGGGAGATTCGAGCGATTAATTGCGTATGCGACGAACGATTATAGCGAGTTGATTAAAATGCGTACCTAATCAGATACGACATGGAACCGTGTGCGTTCAAGCGTGTATCTATACCTATACTTTTGAAACGTGATAATTGTAATTGGTAATATAGCTACATGTAGTACGACGTGTTTCTATAAATATTTGCTATATCTCGTGTGTGCTTTCAACGTTTTTATGTCCGTTTTCAGTGCAGCGATAAAGCTGCCGTTGTATATGTAACATCAGAAAGACGAAGTATTTTAACAAACAGTATAAAAAAATTGAAGAAATTCGTGAAAAATATCTTGACAAAAGGTGTTTCGTTGGACAAGTTAGCGAAACTATAATCATTTCAAGAATACTTGATATGAGTGGATATCATACTAAAAATCAATCGATCTTGTTCTTAAAGAGTCTGTACTACAATTAAAATGTTAATTTTAACATTTTTGCATGTGTTTGAGAAAGTCCATTGTACGTCTTTAAGTTAAATTAACATTTAATTTTTTTACAGTGTATATATACAATTATTCTTTGAGATATAGTATCTTTCTGTCGTTCAGACGCCGAAGATGGAAGCTGTACACGAAAAATGAAATTATGGTGTCGAATTTTATCTTTTTTATAATAAAATGACAATAGCACAATGCATAAGAAGAGAATAAGTATATGGTATACTTTTGAGACTCTTTTTCTCGGATCGTACTTTGTGTTCCTCTCTCGTAGATACGCAATTTTACGCACGTAAATACACGGTGCCAATACTAGGGTAATGAATGTGCCGCTAATCTGTGGCGTTTGGTATGGCTTTTGTATGAAAATTAAAGAAACAAATAATTTTAAAGAAATACATTCTTCGATGAGCTTGGTACGGCAATGTTCAATTGCAAGTATATCGTAAAGAAGATTTCTGTGAAAGCTTCTTTTTTCAACATTTATGAATTTATTACAAAAAAGCGATTATTTCGAAATTATATTATTACTTTTACATTTGTAATACTGAAATAAAAGAATTAAATAAAATATTGCTGGAAACATTTAAAATATTTTGAAAAATTAAATCAATTTTTTTTGTGATTATAATAATTCATCATATAACTGTGTGTAGTAATATATAAATAAAATATAATCTGTCAATATTATACAATATTTTTATACAATGTGACAGCTTTAATTTATATGTCGCTTTACGAATACTTGCAAAACTTTGTCAAAACTTAATAGAAGACCAATGTATATATCTGTATACAGAAAAAAATGTTACATCGAAAATTTTGTCGATGCTTATTAAACTTCTCTACTATAAATTATTGTCATGTAATATCGTTATAACAAACTCGAGTAAATAAATTTTGGCCATCCGGATACAACGGCCTGTGGTATTTCGCAGAACACTGCGAATAGTGGGAAAAATGCAACGAAACGAGAATAAGATCTAAACTATAATGGTATATGGAAATGGTAATGCATATGTATGAAGTTACATTTTCGCAGTTACTATATTTTTCTGTCTACAACTCTTATTTGTTATTTGCAGCACGAATACTTTTATTCCTAGTATTTTATTTTGTGAGAGAAACATTAAATAGAATATATTAATTTCTTTGTTTTAATTTATATCCGATATCAGTTACAACACATGAATTATATTTATTTAATACTTTTAAATGTCTATGTAGATGAGTATATACATTTAATTAGATTATTCTATATTAACAATCGATCGAATTGGAAAAAGAATTTTGTTAATACAAACGTTAACGTAATATAGAAATTATGCGTTAATCGGCCAGCGTCAATCAAGGTTGCATAAATTTTGCGCAAGCATGATACTATCATTACAATTAAGAGATGAGGAATCAAACTTTCTCCTCGTAGAAATCGTACGGATGAAGCTATTAAGATAAGAGGTCATAGGAGAGTTGCTCATTAGCTAAGGTAAGAAATAAAATACGTGGAAGCTAATACATTTAATACAAGGTATGGAAGTGAGCTAAGTATTCTATTTTTCGTACGTTTAAGCCTTAGGCGTTTCTCCAATTTTAATGGAAAATAAGCATTTAGCACCATTGCATTTCATTATGAATTCCATGAGATAGCATAGTTGCATATATAAAAAAAATTACATTACTCGTGACAGATACGTCTATTCTGCTATATTAGTGAAGACAATTTTGTGATATTACGTAATGGTAAATTAAACGTTGAAAAGATCCGACGGTTAAAAATAATTTGCAATTCATATAGCTGCAGGAATTGAGCCCCGTACTTTCTATGTAAATGTCAGCAAATATAATTCGATATATATTACGATACATATTTTGTTTTTTATTGTAGCAATCTTTTTTTTTATCAGGACGTTTGGCCGATCGACAAATCCAACAGCCAATTAGTGTTATTATCGAACGGAACTAACGGGTGAAATGCTTCATGAAATAATTAACATTATCGATCCGTTTAATAGCACAGATGAAAGCAAGAACATTTTTAAAAAGATGTAAAATTGGAAAATTCGCGATATTGAGGTGCGGAAGTTTGGCATCAGAAATTGAACGTGGGGCCGTGTATAATTAACCGCAAGTTGATTAGTCTAGGTTACTACTCGATAGACCAGTTTGTATATCTAATTACGATACGTTATTACTCATACTCATTGTGAATAATACAGCAATTATAAATTATCATAATAAAGTGTATGTTTATATACATATATCCACGAATGTTTGATTTATGTGCTGGTATCCGACAATATTGGTGATTCCAGACTACCCATACCTAATCAATTATCCAGTTTTCCCTCGTTTAATTATGGTCGTCCGGCCAAAATTGTGGTCTCGTCGGCAAGCTACGGCAAATTTACAGATCGCCCTTCCTCCCACAAGCATGGCAAGAATAGGTCGACAAACTTTAGCCGGAACTAACATGATAGCGCGCCATAATTTTCATTAAGTGTGTAATACGCATTTGTTACTGCAATTGCAATAATGTATCGCAATTACGGATGTGTATTCACCGAAAGATCGTTTATTTAGTATCGTCAACATAGCGCATTCGCTTAAATTGCAAGAATCGTGCAAAGTAGCATTTATTTCTGTGCCGTGCAAATATTCCAATCTAAACAAATTTTATCCGATTGATCGTTTAAATAATTTTTTTTTGTTTTTAGAATAACAAAGTAAAGTCTACACATACACATAAACTTTCCTACATTCACGAAACGCGAGTTGACGCCAAAGAACCGCACCGATTAAGATAAATAATCGTACACGATTTTTTTCATTTTGTGAATGAATACATGTACACGCATAACCGACATACATACCTGAGCAAATCTACGAAGCCGTGCGCAGGTGGTTTTGAAGAGTCGCTGGCATTATGCTCGGCTCACAATGAGCCCGTACTAACACTCTCACTCTATAGTCGGCAACGCCTGGAAATAATGGAGCCAGCCGCAATGCAGAATTTCGGTGCCCCGGTAAGTATCGTGTAATTTTAACGGTAATTGCCGGCGGTTTAAACGCGCCACAATTGAAATAACCCTTATAGCACACCACTACTATAGAATGTTGATATAAAAGCACGAGTAAAAATGGGAATTTTGAATTTCATATTATTACACAGCAGCCTATTTTTGTCTGCCGCGGCAAACAACGTTTACCAAAATAACTAACGTTATTTGTCAATTTTGATCGTCGAAACGATGATAAATAATAGCAACTATACGGGATGCTTCGTTACTACGTCATTTACCAGAAAACGTTATTTACGTACGTAACAACAATTTCGAATTATCAGGATATTTTCTTAAGTCGAGAAACTTCCTAGGTACGCGACCTCGGTTTTCTAAAAAGGGTTGTATGCTGCATTTCAGTCACGTACAGCTGGCAAATTGCTCTTCACTGAGATCTTTGAACTTGCATAAAACTCTTCTTTTATCATAACGTCCTTTCGTTACGATTAAAGCGCTAGAGAATCACGCGCCGATTCTACAGTCAGCGACAGCTATTCCTTTCCTGTGGCTTAAATTCGCGCTATTGACTTTTACGACTCCATATCTCTCATGTCTATGTAACAAGAAAGCGAAAGCATTTATAGATGCATTGTGCGCTGAGCCGCGTGCGCGGTTTTTGATTTACATTGTGCGAAAGTCGGCTATCACGTTTTCGATAGGCGGATTTGCCGATAATAGCAGATGGATCTGCATGATCCGGGAACCAAGTGGGAATACGAATCCGAACATTATCCTGGCGCATCGTGACGGCTCGCTAACGTAAAACGGATGCATGTACGTCCCGCTGCATCGAGTGCGGCTATACGTGATCCGTATATTCGCTCCAACGGCCCGGGATACAAAGGTCACGCCTTCCTCGTGCCTAATGACCCTTAACCTCTGTCCTGAAGCCTGGAATCTTTTAAACGTTGACGTGTGATGCTTAACGGCAGTCTGATGCAGCCGACAGCTAACATCGTGAGATCCGACTTGCGTATTATTATGAAAGACAATAGCCGGCGGCCGAGTAGACGAATGACGGTCCAATATCGGATATTATAATCTCGATTCCCTAATATTCGCGCGCTGGCCATTAACGTCATCGATACCCCGAGATCATCGGCGAAGCTGATTAAACCATTTTCGATGTACGCTCGCATTATTTACGCGCAGATTCGCGCAAAATCCTTGACCAACTATGTCCCGTCGATCTATTATCTTCGTGTAAAGCGGATTTACGTATACGAATACAATCGGCTGGTTAAATTAACGACCTCGTACTTTCCATCCCGCCGCCGCATGCATGGCCATGATGCATCGTCGTTACGATAAAACTCTCCTGGGAGGCATGCACGAGCGCCGGGATAAAGCGCCGCGATATTAAATCGCAACCGCGTACGGACGCTTATTTTTATCTATCTCTGTAAAATCTCCGTCCGAATCGCGACGTATTATATAGACGTATTTTATGTAGGGACAAGTTGTCCATATTGGAGAGAGAAAAAGAAATCAGTGGCGCGAGAAAAGCGTGGATGTTGACACATATTTTGTACCCACGTGTTACGTTATACCTTGCTTTTTTTATTAGCGTAACGTTTCTACGTGTATCGAATACGCACGTTATTTGTCGACTACTATGCCCTTCGAAGGTTTCTATTCGTTCGAGACCGTTTTATCCCTACATTCAGTACATTCCCTACTGCCGGGCGGTGAAATGGATGAGAGGGTGACCAACCCGAACGACGACGCTTTCCTTTCTGTCACGATGAACGTC